TTATGCCATCGATTTTGTTAATTTAATTGTGTTTGGTAGCCAACAAAAATCATATATTTTGGATCATTAATATCTATAACAAAATAAATAGTAACCGATCAAACATGATTTGTACTTAGATATATATACTCAAATAATTATCTTGATTGTAAAACAAAGAGAGATTAGCTAGAATAACCTTTTTTAAAAAAAAATAGTTAGAATAACCTTACTATTTTTTTATTGCTGAAATAATCTATTCTAGATTTTTTTTTCTTTTATAATACCAAAATTGTCCTTCGCAGACTCTGCCGAGGTATTGGCAGATTCTGCCGAAACATTGGCAGGCTCAGCCGAAACATTGGCAGACTCTATCGATATATTGGCAGACTATGCCAATATCTAAAAATACGCAGACTCTGCCGAAACATTGGCAGATTCTGCCGAAACATTACTCCGCCGAGATATTGGCAGACTCTGCGGAAACATTGGTAGACTCTACAGATGTATTGGCAGACTCTGCCAATATCTAGAAATACGCAGACTCTGCCAAAACATTGGCAGACTCTGCCGAACATTGGCAGAGTCTACCAATGTTCGGCAGAGTCTGTCAATGTTTCGGCAGAGTCTGCCAAGAACAATTTTGGTATTATGAAAAGAAAAAAAATCCAGAATAGGTTATTTCAGCAATAAAAAAAATAGTAAGGTTATTCTAGCTATTTTTTTAAAAAAGTAGGTTATTCTAGATAAATTTTTCTAAAACAAAATGAAAAATGTATAGCAAGATTTCTTAATTTATATTAAGAGAAAAAATCAAGAATCCTTTACCTATATAAAGAGCTAAGAAGTAAAGAGGTGACTTCTGGTTTCCATAGAATTGAAAGAAATTTTGAAAAGAAAGACGGATTTGAATATTGAATAATGATTTAATTTAACTCAAAATCCTAATTAATCAAAATTAAAACTCAATTTTGTGAAATGGAATTTGATATCGAATTGAATCACGGGTTTTTACCGGTTTAAGTGGTTCAACTCAATTTCAGCTAAGTGAACGATTCCCGGTTGACATGTTAATCCTGTCTCGTTTTCAAGTTGGTACATATACAATACAAGTCACATCTTTTAGTTAAAAAAATAAATTACTATTTTTTGTTGTCAAATAATTTTATACCATAAAAAGAATAAATGTTAAATTAGGAAATATTTAAGCGTGTTGACTCTTTTTTTCTTTCCTTAAGTGAAATTTAATTGTTTTTAAAAAATGTATTATCGTGACAAGATAATAGAACCTATGTAACGTAAACTAATAGATTTGACTAACAATGGAAATCTAAAAAGATAAGGAAATCGCATTTTAATGGAGAGTATATATATATCTATACCTAACACAAAATACACACACACTCTAAACCTGAAATTCCGTATATAAACTCATTCTCTTCCTCAAGTGTCATCGATTAAAAAACCCCTAAAAATCAGAATATCAAAATCATTTCATCTTTTCCAACAAAATTATGGTTCTTTACGTCGAGATTGACAATGTACCAGACAGCTTCATCTACTTTGCACCGGTCTACAAACCGACCAAACCACCGATCACGACGACAACAATCTCCACAAAAACCAAAACTTCTTGTTCGATTTCCAAGTTCTTTACACTCGAGCCCCTGAGCCTGCAGATTCAGACGGAGATCTTGATTACGACAAATAATTTAGAATCTCTAATCATTCGTCAAACTCACGTGTTCGACAGAGATTGGCTCATAGGTGGTGATAAAGATCATATACGAGTCACCGTCTTTCATATTCTCGATATGATCCAAGTCCCTTCTTACAGGGAGGTTGTTATGACATTCACTGAAGAAATCTTGGATCTGAAGAAACGTGATGCAATGTCTACATTACCAGAAGTGGAGAAGATTAACGTAGAGATATATAGATGTTATGGTCTGGACGTTTCCCGATGTTGTTGAAGACGACGTGGATGTGAAATTAGCGGTGGCTCCAGCAAGCGATGAGGCCGTGGAGAACAACTTTGAGACGGTGGTTCTTGAGAAGGAAGGCTATTGTGTGATATGCATGGACAAGATCCAGGTTGGTTCGGATGTGGATGCGGGTCGAATGCCGTGTTTGCACGTGTTTCATCGTACGTGTGGTGTGGATTGGCTTAAGAGTAGTGGGATTTGTCCTGTGTGCCGTGCCGTGTTTCCGTCTTAAGTAACCCTAAGACTTTAATGTAAGCCCTAATTCTTATGCTAAATATGGTTGATGATGTAATTGGATCA